AAATCAGGCGCGCAGCCACGCCCTCCTCATCTCCGAGGTATCGAGTGTGCCTTTTGTAAGATTTATCGGGAGTCTCCGCAATTCTTCTGCTTCAGCGAATCAAAGTTGAAGTGGTGGCGTTGATCAACGACACAGTGGGAACGATGGTCGCTGCTGCGTATGAGGCAAAAGGCGAATGCGATATTGGAGTGATCATCGGTAATAATTCAAAATAGTTTGGTATTTTTTGGAAAGGATATCAGCAATTTTCCGCTTTCTACCGCATAACAACTTTCGTTCCTCTTCACAGTTTTTCTTTTATAGGAACTGGAACAAATGCCTCCTATATGGAGGACTCAAAAAGGATCATTCATGGTTTGGCGAACGCAAGTGAACCTTATAATCACAAACAGGTACTTTTTGTATCATTTGTTTCCATTTCCCGAGAGCCCTTTAGCGCTGTGCTTTTCTAGGGCATCAACAGTGTCTGATTCTTTGAAAAAAACGTTCCACCATTAACGAATGGGTGGAGACCCATAACCTTTGTGCTTGCCTCATGACTCTATATTGCAAAGAAAAGGGGCGGTCCAGGAAGATACTATGGTGACAATTCTCCGCCCATCAGATTATCCTGGGATTTTTCTTAACGCAGAGGCCCCAAAAATTGCTAAAAATCGCTAGTCAATTCAGAAGACTGAACCATGATTTTCGGGAAAAAAATCTGCTACTGTGTTTTGGCTTTAAGCGCCTCCGACGGGCTTTCCTGGCCAATATAAGACGATGTGTTCGACTGACTATGGTTTTGTTATTGGGGCATAAATATTCGGTTAAAGACACATTCCACGATGACGGGGTGGGCGGAGACACATAGCTGTTCTTCATGGTCTCGTTCCATCTCTCTGTCATACCAAAATGGTGGCGCATATTCCCGCGATCATTCGATTATCGTGGAAAGTGACTTTAAGTTTTTTTAATCAGCTTTCAAAGATAACCAATTTCAGATGATTATCGATACAGAATGGGGAGGATTCGGCGATAACGGAGAAGCCGACTACATATTTACCCAGTACGATAAAATCATAGATGAACGATCTGATCATCCTGGAGTGAACTCGTGAGTGCAGTTTCATTTTCAAAAAAAAGAAAAAAAAACTAAAAACCGGTATCAAACTAGTGGAGCAAAGATAGTTCTCTGGATCGTCTATATCGACAAAACAATGAAATTTCGTTGGCAAGCATCGAGGAGAGGCTCAGGCCAAGCGCAGAAGAGAAGAATGGACAGTTTTAGTGAGCGATTCAAAGGAAGTGCATGTTGATCTTACGGGCGGAGACGGAGAACCCTTCTACCTTTCTCTTCATTGCACCCTTCCTTTCTAGGACGGTGAAGAGGACTCATTTATGAAGAAAGCTCAATGATTACTCTCGTCCACCAATGAACTTGGCACAGGGTAGGCCGGTTCCTCCCATACGACAAGCGTAGAATATGTCTCCGAGGGAGCCAGAGCTCGCAGTGCTCAAGTGTTCTCGGTAGCTGTTCTTTTATCAGTTAATTTTGATAGTATTCACTTCCTATGCACTTCCTTTGAATCGCTCGATAATCTCGAGCAAAATGCCGTAAGGGGAATTCAAACATTATTTTCAAGTTTTTTTTCTCTAACTGATTTACTTTTTTTCCTATAAGTAAATGCTATTTGATGCTTTTATATCTATCTTCTTGCCCATCACCATGCTTTATTTCAGACTCGATAAATTGGTTGCCGGTATGTGTATGGGTGAAATTGTTCGTCTTGTTCTTGCAAAGCTGTGTACCCATAAGGTAAGCTGCAGCCTGAAGTCACAGTACTCTGTTTGAGTGTTTACCTGAGGGTCAAATCGGATGGGAAGCGGAGCTGACCTGCCCAATCCTTGTTGATGGTTTGAGCAATGGAGAGGGCGGTGACTTCACCATTAGCGCACCTTCCTTTTCCGCCTTAGAAGCAGTGGCGCACCATCAAGCAGGGTACAGCATTGTTGTGTGGAGCACAGAGGGGGTCGTACTTTTCGGCTGGGGAGGAGGGAGGTCGTATGTGGTTTTGACAGAAATTTGCCGCGTTGGGGAAAAATTTTTCCCGGTTGTTGACTTTTCGTGATTTTTCCTGTTTCATGTGTACTATGTCCCCCCCCCCGCTCGACGGAAAATCTCTGGGTGAAAAAACTGGAAAATGTGGGAAATTGGTAGGTAGGTGTTGGGGAAGGGGGGGGGGTCGTACCGAGACCCTCATTTAGGTGGGGGGGTCGTACTGGCACCACCATTTCACACATCACGATGCTGTACCCTGCCATCAGGAAGGCAGAGTAG